AGGAGTACTGCTGCTATTCAACCCTTGTCTTCAGGTCAAAATTCTTACAAGGAAGCCCCTTGCAAGAGGCGAATTTTTTGTAATTTCTCCCAATTGTTTCTCCGTTATATAATTGAATTGCTTGTCAAATTCTGAGGTCAATTATCTTTAATTGTAATTTATACATTTCTTTTTTTCCCTTCATTTTATTTTTTTTGTCTGGAGAAGTTTCGTCGATTTCTTCGGATTTCGAATACTGTAACTTCTCTGCTATTCGGCCGATTTTTATGAACGAGACCTCTTCTAATTCGTGTTTTAATGGAGAGTAAGGAAAAAATTGCATAGTACACGCGAAACAATTTTTTTGAAAATTGGACGAATCTTAGCGTGACGGTGAAATGGTTAATCAAGCGTAAACAATAAGGTGAGGTTCTGGGTCGGGTCGCTCGGGAGGAACAATAGAATCTGCCTCGGTCTCGGGACAGAGGTCCAGTGTGCGGGGAGGAGAGGGGTAAGTGGATTTCTGTAAAATCAAATTGATTTCTGCATGTGTTATGGTTAGCACATGGTCTAATGAGTTTTGAGGCTCATCACAGATTGCACTTACGGCTGTCCTGGTTGGCCCTGGCTATCAGAGCAGTGGTACCAAATTTTGAAAAACATTACAGAGGTGTAGATATCTGTCAATGCAACGTTTTAAACAAAACGGAGGAGTGAAATTCTCATTTGAAGAGTGCTGAACTGCTCAGCCATCCTCGAATCAGTTCGTTTGCTTCTGCTCATATATGCATATTTTAAATTAGCGCGGAGCATTCTTAGGTTTTTTTTTTTTTTTTTTAACCAAACCAAGTAACGTAGACTCTTGGTGTTCATTGCACATAAACTAGAAAGCCCCAGAATGACAAAAAACTTTAAATCATAATTATTGACGGATTAGTAAACTTTCTACACGCTTTGGAAAATCTCAGAAGTTCGCGGCAGTCACTTTCCGATAAGGAACTAAGAGACTCGGTTATTGTATCGAGGGGGNGGGGGGGGGGGGGGGGGGTCGAAACGATCGCAACGGCGGTATACTACGTATACGCGCCAAAAAAAAATGAAATTTTATCGTTTCTATGTGCCTGGAGTCAAATTAACCATACTTGAAAAAAATATATGTCCGTCCGTCAGGCGTACCCTTTTTCTGTGTACGTCCATATCTCGGAATCTACCAGTTCAATTTCATTCAAAATTTGCATGGAAGACCATATGTTTGGTCCTCTAACGCACGTCAAGTGATTTTGGGGTGCGCGAAAATTGGGGGGGGGGGTTAGGGGCAAAACTTGATTTTTATAAAATTCACATGGAGAACTCATTTTGACGGACTGTAAACTTTGAAAAAATGCCTTTCATTCTTTAAAAGTTCGCATCTAGCACCACCTGAGTCATTAATTTAAGTTCCAAAATGATCTTAGGACTAAACTCAAATTAAAGGGGTAGGGATCATCGACGGAGGGCACTGTATTTTGCGAGATCACACTGAGGGCTGGCTCACTTTGACGGATAACACATTTTGAAAAAATGCCTTTCAATTCTTTGAAAGTTAGCATCAAGCATCACTAGTGGTATCATTTCTTAAACTTCCTGAAAGATCTTTGGACAAGACTTAAAATTAGAGAAGAACCAGCAGCACTAACGCGCATGCAACTTCAACTTTTGAACGTTTGAGAATTTATCGGCAAGTACCTAATCGCTCAAATTGACAGCGTTGGCCATGATTTTCATGTTGTGACGCCCTTCAAGTATCTCTGAGGAACGACAATATTTTTTTGAGGGGGAGGGTTATGGGGCAAAAACCAGAACTTTACAATTGCGTGTTAGCCGCTGAGGAAGACCGAACACCAAACTATACAAACTCAGACAGTGCTTTAAGTCAGGCGAAACCTAGGACTTCAAATGCATTACCTCCAAAATTACTCCTCATAAGTACATGAAACAAAATTCCATGACCAATTGGATAATCACATATTATGAATTATCCAAGCTAACACAAGAACCAACACTTACGATTACAATTAGATCTTTATTGAAAGCAAATTTGGTGTTCGTGAACTTGAGGAAGCATCCCGGCAAATTCCATCTTCGGCGGTTCCTTTTTACGCGGTATTTAACTCAAATCTCTATACTATAAGCTCCGAGACCGCCTAATTTTGCGTAACTGGTAACGCTTAGTTCCAGCCTTCTACCGGACCGATTTTCATGATTTTTGCGGCTATCGACGGGCAATTGTCTCTAGATTAGCCAACTCTTTTCAGATTTTGAAAATATGACCCAGGTTTTTTTATATTACGTGATAAAGTTGCGAATCCTCCCATTTAAACAATGTAAATTTATACTTTTTGTCATAGTTCGTTTGAGCGTTCTACCGGGCCGATTTCCATAATTTTTGCGTAAATCGACAGGTAATTGGCCCTAGATGAGCCCGCTGCAATCAGATTTTGGAAATAGAACCCAGGTTTTTTTAAAATTACGTTATAAAATTGAGTGGATTTACGGTGTGCTCCGGGACCGCTACCGCTATGCGCGAGAGGATGCGCAGTGGTCGAAGAGGTTGCGCAGTGGATGTGTAGCCTGCGCATCAGCTCTATTTATCAACACAAATTCACCCACGTTATCTCATTATGATCGGTAGCCGAGTTGTCTACTCTACACCATCGGAAATGTCCACATTTTCAAGATGTGGGATCGATTCCTGACTCCTCAGCTACTTTTACTTTTGACAGCAGGCGTTTATCATTATTCGTTGTTTTACTGCAATGTCTCATTAATCAGTCATTGCAAAACGCGTTATATTGACTTCAAAAAAAATTGTTTTTCTTTATTCATCAAAAACAAAAATCTTTTGATTCTAAGAGTAAAGTATACCTTATATCGTAATTTTTCAGAGGAAAAATAAAATCAACATTAATAGGAGGGTAAAAATAGGGCCGCGAAGCGGACCATTGATGGCGCAGAGCGCCTGCAGGGGGTTGGGCCGCGTAGCGGCCAGGAGGCGTAGCCCCCTAGTACAATAATAATGCACTACATGATTGATCCATTGCCACACAAACCAACTACTTATTTGTTTATTTGGGTGCTGTGGAGCTACTGAGACTGACCTAACCTCAAATAACCATTCACAAGGTACGTTCACATGGAGAGGCTAGGGATAGGCGAGTGACCTGTCAGGCCGCGCTTTCTGTCTCGCTGGGAACCCTCTACCTAGATGTATAAGAACCAACCAATGTGTATAAGAACGTTCTGTGCGCCTGCGCGCCTTCAATATTTTCTCTTCCTCTCTTTCTTTCATTAATCTCCATTTACTTTAATAATTTTCATCAAAATTCTCTAGATTGATTTAGTTATTGAACTTTCAGTTGATTGGAAATTTCATAACTATTATCGTTCAATCACAATTCCAATGAATCTTTATGATGTTGTGAAATTGACAGTATTTTTCTAAACATTCCAGCAAAAGTTACTGTGCCGGCTTGAGCGAGAAAGTCTTGTGCGCTCCTCGCACCACAATGGGGGAAGGCTTAGCCGCCCCCTCCCCCCACATGCCGACGCGAAGCGCAACGCGTAAATCGGCAGGAGGCCAATTATTTTTCCTTTAAGCCCTGGATAGACAATAAAATTCCGAACCAATTCCGATCAAAGTAGACATACTGATAACTGGTGGTCACCATCTACCATCAAATTTTGACGGGCCGCACTTCTTTGTTCAAAGTAAGATCAGAACGGAGTGCCATCATTCATCATTTCCTGCCAAGTTTTCATTTTAAAATGAAGCAAATTAATGAGTTTAAGACTGATGACTCCCGACACTTTGATGCTACTTTGATCGGAAGTGGTTCGGGAATTCGATCGTCTACCCAGGGCTTTATAGCGCCCGAACCCAGGCTTCCCACTGCAGTTCATCCGGCACCGATGAAGTAGCAACGGCGGCGGATCTTTTTTCCAAGGTTTCCTTGTTGAGCACCTAAGACCTGACTCTGCTCTACGCCGCGCCGAGACGGTGAAATTCGCCCAGTTACACCCCCTTCGCATTATGCATGAATTGAATGCTTCCTTGCTCCAGCAAAGCCGTAAACATTAATGTTTAACAACTCGATACTTGATTTTTTAGGCCCAGGCAAAAGAGTTCCGATAAACAGCAATTTTGAGGATCGATCGTGAGTCTGTAATGATTCATGTTAATCGACTCTGCTGAAAAATTGTACACTCTTACAGAACCCGGTATGATTCTTTACGTAAGGGTAACCGTTTCAAAGGAAAATGGGCATTTCTAGGAAAAGACTGAAATTTCAAAAAATGCCGGATTTTTTTGGCGGTCATTTTGAGGCGTTCAAAGTCATCTTACAAAAAAAATTCATAGAAACCATTTTTGTTGGAAATTTTGTGAACTCTAATTTCTGTAATGACTTATTTTTCGCTAAAAACCACCTACTAATGATTTATTTACGAAAAACCGGATAAAGGTCGATTTTTGGGGTTTTTTTGGAAAGGGCGGGGGGTCAAGCGTAAAGGGAATTCTTGGGGACTTTTTGCTGGGAGTCCTAGACACTCGGATGAACAACTTAGGCACATAAAACCTTATATATAATTTTTTTTCCCTTTAGCCGATTTTTTATCTAATATGCCTGCAATGAATAGTTTGTCTGAACGAGAAAATGATGAAGAGAAAAAGGAGATGGGAAGAGGATAATGAAGGAGAGTAAGAAAAAAGCTGGAAGAAGAAGAAGAAGGAAGAGAAAAGGAAGAATGCGGGGGAAAAGACTAGAAAGGAATTCTCATTCCACTTCCTTGTCCTCTTCCCTGTCTATTCCACCTCCTCCTCCTTCTGTCTGTTCCCTATTCTTCTTCTCATTTTTCCCTTTCTTTTTTACACGTATGATTTTGTTCGACTGTAATAAGATAAAAGTCCCATGATCTGGATATGTCAGACCACGGTTACCTATCATTATTTTAATATAATAAACATAAATAATGAAATGTTCCAGTTCGTGCGAAACCAGGAGCCAAAACAGGAGGAGCTTAGTGGGGCTGAATCAACAGTTCAACGTAACTACCGCGTGCCGCAGTACATCCGTGGGGGTGGTGGTGACGCAGGAGTGGGTGGAGGCGGCGGAGAGGCTCCGCTCGATTCAGAGCCAGCAGCAGCCGCTTCCATCGCCTCCGGGCATGCGGCCGAAAACTCCTACCATCCGAGCTACGACGGCGACTCAACGGCCTTCTCGCACGGCGTCCAGTTTAGCTCCGACCTCATTCAGGACCCCGGCTACCAGCTCGAATTCAAGTACCACGACTACGACAAGATGACGAAGTTCCTCAGGACCACTTCTTCCCGTTACCCCAACCTCACCGCTCTTTACTCCATCGGCAAGTCCGTCCAAGGTATAGACGCACGTACATCTTGGTGCGATGTGACAGCTCACATGTAGATAGTTGGATGGTGGGTCATTTAAATTTTTGCTCAGAATCGTGGCAGCTACTGTTGATACTGTTGCGAGGTAAAAATGATGAGACAGTGATGATGTCGGTCAGTGATTTTTTAGGAGGTACAAACGATAGCAAGTCGGCCAGAACACTAAAAGAAGAATCGGAGGAAATACTTGAACCCTACGGATTAAACCTGCGCAAATGGCAATCTAGGGCTCAAGAAAAGGTAACATCAAAAAGAAGATGAATATGAGTCAGTTAGAACTACCGTCCTTAGTAGAAATAGAAAAGTCAAGAAACCTTTGCGTGCGATATATTCAGAGAGAAGCATTTTCTTGATAAACACGACCGTAAATAATGAAATTTGATGATCTCCGTTTAGTTCATGTTTGAATGAACTAAAGAATTGAACATTTGGAAAAACGAAGGCCATTGCTCATAAGCTCCAAAAAAGGTCGGTAATTCTGGTGGTTTTAATTTAGTTTTCAAAGCCGGTGTAGGTTTGGCTACTGGAAACACACTTGGTTGCGTCTCCAACAATTCTTTAGCTTTTCCAACAGTTTCATAGTAAGTGCTTTCAAACTTATCAAAGTTATCTTCATCAACATGACTATTATTTCCATATAGCATATCAATGCTTTTTATTTCACGCAAAATTTTGAAATAATGTGGCAACAATGCCGCAGATTCATCATACCGCGCTTTTATTGCTGAAAGTGAGGAAACATCACCTTCCACAGATTTCTTAAAATTCAACAGCTGACGCTCCAATTGTTCTTTTGAGGTTAATAATCCATTCAACTTTTCATGACGATCAGTATGCGTTGGGCTGATTCGCGAAGCTTTCGATGCCTTGACAGTTCTTGATTTCTTCATTATTATTTTTTAAGAACCGCACTTTACCGCTTCTAACCGCACTACAAATCAATAAATGGATTTACACAATTTCAAATTATCAAATTATCAAATTATGCAGCCTAAATGACATTAATCCATCATCAAGCTTGCCTGGCAACAATGTACCTAGCAATGCGTTTTTTATTTTAGAATTTTCGTTCGTGTCAAGACACCGCCTCTGTCCGATCGAATGAAAAGCCGAGGCCCAGGTCTTACACACGTATTGCAAGGATAAGAATGGAGGCGAAAATATCGCTCACTGCAATCTTCTTTCTATCCAAGCTTAATTCATGAGTTCACATCGGGAATGGAGGCGAAAAATATCGCTCACTACATTCTCCATGATGTAGCTTTTAAGCTCTCAGTTTGTATGCGACAATATCGCTTACAGCATTTATATTATTATCGAATGGAGGCGAAAACCGCTCACTGCATCCTCAATAATAAATTAGTAAGAAATGCTCTTGTCAAAGTGTTAAACGCAACGTCTACTTTTACTCTCTTTTTTTAGGTTATCTCAATTACAAACATTTCATCTCCACTCTAACTCCTTATTTTTTTTCACTTGGACTAGAGATTTCGAGTATATAATCACGTCGGGGTCACCAAATGGAGCTATTTTCAATAGCTAAACTAATCAGTAAATAAACAATCTCAAATACCGGAGGAAACCAAACTGGATCGCAATAACTTTTTATATATTTAACAGCATGCACAGAACAGCAGGGAGAAATCTTTGGGCAACTAAAAACTATACAGTGTTGTAAAGTTTTTACAAAGGGCAAATCGAAACTCCAACATTTTAATTTTTTTTGAGATTCTGAATTGAATACTTATTTTTATGTTTTTCACTCCGTAATTTTAGCGTCGTTTTGGTAATTTTAACTTGTAAGTGAGTGCTTTCAAACAAGGGTACTGTAAGAGCAAACTTTAACACAATTTAATCATAATCATGAGCCAAATAAGGTACCTACAGAATCGGGAAATACAGCGTGTGAGAATGGAGAGGCGGTAATTACTCAGTTCTATGTCAAACTATAGGTAGTAGATATGTTTACCGAAAACCACAATCATCTTTAGGCCATCTAAGCATTGATGTGTGAGGCAGTCGTCGCGTGGATCAATCAGAGTGGCCCTTGATCGGCCGAGGTTGCAGGAGGGGTGCATCGGTGCGTTTAAATATTAGTGGAGTAGGTAATGATTTTCGGTATTTAGCTTTCATTCTCCCAGTTATGAGCAAATGCCATTTTTGGACTAGGCAGTTTTTTGAAGTGATGTTTTATCTTATTTCGAGAAGGTTCTTATAAATTTTTGCAGGGGCTCAACTCCTGAGAAGATACTGACACGAAAGGAACAAGTGTTATATCGATGGTGAAAGTGTTGAAGTGCGTACCTCGATTTTTGACAGTTTTGAATTAGCTGCATAAACGTGTTGTTGATGTTCTTACCTGCCAGCAAGAGATTATAATCGAAAATAATCGGAAGTCACGTAAAACCGTAGAACTTTTTTCGCGTATCTCGGGCTTAAGTGCACACATGCGTATCTCGTTCTGGACCCTTCATTTGATCCGGTGTGCCTTACGCGTAACGCGCGTTCCTCAGCGTTTCCCAGCAACAGCATACATCAGCTGATCAGCTATTCTGTGTTTTTATTTATTTTCAGGAACTCGCTGGTTTTGAAAAGTTGCTAAATGCTTAGGTATCATTCGAAGGCCCTCCAGAAGCATTTTCTCGTAGATATGTGGGTACCTATTACTCGCGGCGCGAGGCGTTCATGTCCAATTTTCTCTCTCAGGGCCAATCATGAACTGACGGTTCATCACAACGGTCAGTTGTAGAGTACCTTTATAGACAGAGTATGGCCATTCGTATCTTTTTACTACAGGAAAACTGTTCCGCTTTTTGATTGGTCAACGAGTTTTTAGGCTTCGTGATGCTCTTACGGCCGTAAATGAACAAACAAGATGGCGGCTCACCGTAACATCGATAAGAGACTAAATTTGACAAAAATTTCAATTATACGGCATTAACAATTAAAACTAGCATATCTACGAATAACACACGAAGAACACATGAAAATATTGTTAAATCGCCTTTTACCTTTATCACAGGAGGATGTAAGATGTGCATAACCTCAATCTTCGAAAGACTATAAAAAACTAAGAATTTTAGCGCAAACCGCAGATCAATATCTTAATTTTTGACCTAGTTATGATAGGTTAAATTTGACTATTTTCAAAAAATCATAACTCCGGTTCAAATTATCGTAAAGAAAAAAATAAAACGGGAAAATGTATCAAATTGTATTCGCTTTTAGGTAAAAATTGCAGAAATCACCTCGAACTACTTTTTAGGGGGGGATTCGGGCCTCTAAATACGTCAATTCACAGGTCATTCAATTTTCCCGCAAAATAAGCCAATTTCCCCTGGATTTGCCTCCACATTATCTCAGTTAGGTCAAAAGTAGTTCAACATTATGTAGACGAGTCCTTAAATTTCGGGAAAAGTTAAAAAAAAAAACGAAATTTAAACGATTAAATTTGACATGTATCCAAATAGCTATAAAATAGGGTATAAAATAGGTGAAAATAGATATTAAATATCCTATCTAAATACCCTATATAGTGTCCTTTGTTTCAACTATAAATACCGTATTTTATAGCTTTCTCTTTAGCTATAAAATAGGTATCTGAATAGCTACTGAATAGGTACATGGATGCCTATTAAAAAGGTTTTTTACTTTTGAAAAAGAACCAAAATTGAGACCTTGAAAACCATAAGGTGGTAAGTGCATTTATACGTTGCCAAGATTAGAGTACCTTTATAGACAGAGTATCGTCATTCGTATCTTTTTACTACATGAAAACTGTGCCGCTTTTTGATTGGTCAACGAGTTCTTAGGCTTCATGATGCTCTTACGGCCGTAAATAAACAAACAAGATGGCGGCTCACCGTAACATCGATAAGAGGCTAAATTTGACAAAAATTTCAATTATACGGCAGTAACAATTAAAATTAGCGTATCTACGAATAACACACGAAAAACACATGAAAACATTGTTATATCGCCTTTCACCTTTATCACAGGAGAATGTTAGATGTGCATAACCTCAATCTTGCTTGCTGATAACAGCCATCTTGTTTGTTTATTTACGGCCGTAAGAACATCGTGTCAACCTATTTTCATTCGACCAATGAAAAACCGGAACAGAAATGGCCATACTCTGTCTATAAAGGTACTCTGGCCAAGATGGTGCAACTAGTCCAGGCAAATGAGCCAAAAAAGGGGCCATTGCCTGCGAACATCCCGGGTAACAATGTTTTTATTGATTCGGATGTAATTTTTGACGCTGAATCCGAATTCCACCAAAAAATTCGGAATGAAAAGTAGCCAAATTTGGCAAAAATGGCCTCAAGTGGGCCTTTATTCCGGATTGTGGCCTGTAACTTGCTTAAAATTGATCTGACGGTTGAATTAGTTATTTTTAATAATAAAGCCCGTTAAATTTCCTATGAAAAAGTTTCTGTACATGTTTTTGATCAGGAGAAAATCAAGCGCGCCGGAGGGCTGGCTGCCCGCCAGCGCGCTTAATTTTGCCTTGAGCAAAAAAACGTATAGGAACTTTTTTATGGAAAAATTAACGAGCTTTATATTTTGAAACAATTAAATTGTTGTCGGATCAATTTTGGACGAGTTACAGGCCATAACCCGCAAAAAACGCAATTTTCACTCATTTTTCAAAGTTCGGATACCGCCAGTGCGCTTAATTTTGTCTTGCGCAAAAAAGTATCTACACATTTTTTTACAGGAAATTTAAAGAGCTTTATTTTTTAAAATAACTACACTGAAAAAAATAATTCCTAAATACAAGGCGGAGTTGTCTTAGACCAAGTAAACCGGATACTTAAAAAGTATCGACAAGAAACGGAAGTTTGAACTAAGACATCGGAGTTACCTTGGATCAAGAAGTAGCGTTTTCTCAAGCCAACGCTCCACGTTCTCTTAAAAAAAGAAAGCGTTTACTTGAAAAAAGGAAACATTCCATGCCGTGAAAATA